ACAGAGGAAAAGGAGGAGGAGGAGGAGGAGGAGGAGGAGGAGGAGGAGGAGGAGGAGGAGGAGGAGGAGGAGGAAAATATTATTATTATTATTATTATTATTATTATTATTATTATTATTATTATTATTATTATTATTATTATTATTCTGGTATGCATTAGAAAAATTGCTATGGATATCCTTGAAAAATATCAATGAGGTGGAAGCAGATGGTTGATGATGATGATGATGATGATTATTATTATTATAGAAAAAGCTGTCAACATGGTTATTATATTTTTCCCTTAATATTTGAAGAGAGTTTTATTTCTTCCCCTGTGTAACAAAATAGCTACAGTAGTAAATAGTACAGAAAAGTACCCCAAGGTAATCCGGAAATATATTTTTTCCAAATTCAACCAGAATTTTTAAAGTGACACAAATAGTAAGCAATAATAAATGGACTCATGCAGTATATCTTTTCAGAAAGAAATGTCATAGTTTTTCAGAAACACATAATGCATTGCTTTAATATTATTTGCACAGCCAGAAGAAAGATACAATAAATATTTTAAGGAAGAACCTGAAAGAATTCAGGATAGGGATTATTGATTTTTTTTCTTATGTGTGTTTTTCTCTTCCCCCCCCCCCCCCGGTTTCTTTTGGCTGTGCCTCCTTTCAATATTAAAGATCATTAGTCTCTCTTTCAACAATGTCCTTGCAAAACTTTCCCCAAGATTTCCAGTCTTTTCATAAGCGTTACTCCAATCCATATCAGATTCAAAGCATGTGTTTGTACAAGGTGTTTCTAAGAGTGTACCCACATTTTGTTAAGTTGCCCCCTTCTTTATGTCATGTGGTTTTGTGTGCATGGCTCATTAACATGCACAGTTTATGTGGATTTGTCTACTTACTAAGCATGTCCCAGAAATTAGTAAAAATGAAGTTGTTTACATATAACTTCCAAGTGTGAAAACTCTAGGAAGAGTAAACATTACAATGCTAACCACTTTTTTTTTTTTTTTTGCTCTACAGCTGCAAGAAATACCAATCAGTATCTTACAGATTTTGGTAACATCTTCTTTGATGAGGAGATGCAAATGTTATTATACATAAAATAATCACTGCTGAATGATCATGGCACAGGATGGAAATTTAATTTCTGACAATACTGCAAAGAGTTGCCTTTAATATTATACTTAAATAGCTTCATGAGAACATTCTACAGAGTTAAGAACATCAGGTCGAAGAATATCTAAAAACATTCTGTAGGACACTATACAACGTATCTAGAGATACATCTTAATAACCTGTTTCCCTGAAAATACAACCTACCCTGAAAGTAAATCCTAGCTTAACTTTTACACGAGCCCAATATAAGCTCTGCCCCCCAAATAAGCCCTCGTTAGGATCCTACCCACTCCAGAGTGGATGGGTAAAAATTAAGCTAGATTGGGGATGGGGGTGGTGGAGCTGCCCTACTACTTATCTTTGGACAGTTGTAGCCAGGCCTGGCACACCCCAACACCTGCCTTGCCAGCCCATTTTTTTGACAGCCGGCAAGGCTGGCAAGGCTTTCCTGAAGGTCTCTTTAGCTGATAACAAAGCTCTGAATCGATCCAGAGCTCAGTTACGGGATGCAAGGCCTTCAGGAAAGCCTTGCCAGCTACAGAAGAAGTTCCTGAAAGCCTCTGACAGCGAAAAGGAGGCCGGGGACGACGCATGCAGGTGAGGTTAGTCAGTGGATGACATCCCCTGAAAATAAGACCTGGTGCCTTTTTTGGTGGCAAAAATATATATAAGACAGGGTCTTATTTTTAGGGAAATCTGGTAGGAATCACATCACTGTATAGCCATGTCTTCCACACCCATGAAAATCCTATTTTGAGCTTTTTTTTCCCGTAAAATAGGTATGAAGGATTTACCTGGAAGTGGTGAAAATGCCATATATAAGGGTTGTTCTCGGATTCTCTGTTTCAAGTAGAAAAACATCCTCTGTAGAGATAAAAGAGTTGCTAAGTGAACCAACAAATGCAATTTTGTGGTCTCTAGAACTTTGACCTTCTATATTTTTTTTAAATGAGTCATAGACAAACTTATCCCTAGAAATTAAAATATACAGATATTCAAGCGACTAAAAGTAAGCACAAACTTAAAGGAAAGATCAGACTCTTGCCAACATAATATCATAAAATAGTTCATGAAATCGAAAAGGATAAGGTTTCATAAGGATCAGGTGTTTGTTCTATTGGAAGGCTGTTTCACCTATCCATGGAAAGAAAATTGCATTGTAATAGGTTGTCTTAAATTAGATATAATGACATTTAAGAAGAAGAGGAGGAAGAGGAGGAGGAAGAGGAGGACGAGGAGGTTTGCTCAGTATTAAGTAAATGGAACAGTTTAGAGTGTCAGGAAGAATATTCAGATTTACAGAAAACGTTCCTTATCTCAAAGCACTTGAAAAGATCCAAGTGCAGTCTATTGCTAGACAATCCTACACACACACACACACATACACACACACACACACACACACACACACACACACACA